TCTTTGCCCAGGCTGTCCCCACTGCCAATTAAATGACCCACCTATTTCTGAGACATATATTTTGCCTACATAGCTGTCCATCTCAGGTACTCTCTGGCCATGGTCCCCAATTTATTTCATACTTCTGGCATGAGTTCTGTAAGGCTCTGGGCATGGAACCTCTTCATTCATCTATGTATCACCCTCAGACTAACGGTCATACGGAGTGCATAAACCAGACCCTTGAGCAAGATCTCAGATGCTTTTAAATTTTCATCAGGATAATTGGATGATCTTGTTCCCCCTGGCAAAATTCACATACAAAAATGCTGCCCATACTTCTACACGCCAGACCCACTTTTTCTCCAACTATGGACTCCATCCTCATTTCTACCTAGCATTGTCTACCTTCCCATAGGTCCTCACAGCGAATGACCATGTATTGAATCTCCAAGATGTTTAGCAAAAAATTAAAGGTTCATCTCGACACAGCCAACCACATATAAAAATAATGACAGCAATATTTTGGCCGCACCATTTCACTTGGTAACAAGGTCTGGCTCTCTTCAAAGACTATCAAGATCCCAAGACCACCTGCCAAACTGGATCACCAATATCTGGGCCCCTTCAAGGTTGTGGAACTAATAAGCTGTGTTGTATTCAAGCTCTAGCTGCCAAAACCACTAAAAGTACACCTCATTTTCCACATATCCCCACTCAAACCTTGCATAAAAAACCCTTTTCTGACTGCCTGAACCTGCTCCCCCCACACCCATGATAGTGGAAGGTCACAAGGAATATATTGTAAGGCAGGTTTTAGGCTCCAGAGACGTCTGAGGCAAGCTCCATTAATTCATCAACTGGGAGGGCTATGGCCTGGAAGAATGATCTTGGGAACCAGATGACCATGTTCACACCCCTAAACTAGTATAAGATTTCCACTGAAAATACCCAGAAAAGCCTGGTCCCAGGCTGCCTAGAAGAGGCCATCTGGGAGGGTGGGGTGGGAAGGGGCGGAAACTCTCAGGAACACTGATCAAGCAGGCCTGGTTGGGCCAAGCATTTAAAGTTATCACATCTGCCGCTGACCCCCGACTAATGCAACTGACCCAGTTCTCTGCAACCAGATCGGTTACTGAAAGCACTGCTCACCCCTTTTAAACACCTGCAGCCTCAGCCTCCATGCAAGCCTTAAATCAGCCTCAGTCTGTTCTGGCAAGCCTTGCATTCATAGCTCTCCCTAGCTTTTCTGATTTCTGACCTGGGTTTGACTTTTCGTGACCATGATCATGGATCTACCCTGAAACATGGTGCTGGTTCTGCTTTCTCTGGTTTCCCTGACATCCTGACTTGCCTTGGTTGCCTTGACCCTTATCCCAGCTTTTCCCTGGAACTTGGTCCCATGCTCTCTAATCCAACTACTCAGACCATGACCCAATGCTCCAGGAACCCATGCTCCTGCCCTGCTGACCTGCTAGTTGCCCTCAGGGTCTATCCACAGGCCTGGCTGCGTATGTCCCAGCCACACACTCACAGTTACACAACTCCATGGGAATAATCTGAAAACAATGAAATAAAGATGTAACTGGGGATGGAATTTGGCCTAAACAACTATTGTCATCATTTGTTTATTGGCACCATCATAGTGTTCAAAGGCACCAATCTTTACTGGGCCCCATTACACTAGATGCCACATAAAACACAGAGGAGGATATGGTCCTTTCCTGAAACTCTCATAATCCAGTTATTGGTGATGTGAGATGGAAAGAACCTAGCTTAATGTTTATATTTGCATTGCTTTTTTAGAGTAGACACATAGAAAGAAGCCTCTTTTACTTGATTATTGGGCATATTTGGTCTGCAAATTCTGACAGAATAATAAGCATGAAGTTCCACTAAGTGTTTTTACAGTCCCTTTTAAAGGGAGTGTCAAATTGCAGTTGGGGCACCCTGGCAAAAGCCTGGCACCTGGCCTATGCACCATTCATGTCACATGATAGACTTCACATCTGTGGTGCATAATCCTCATGTGAACTCTATTTTCAAAGCTGAATGACACTTTAAGACAGTGGTTTCAGATTCTTTCTATAATGAGGGTTGAATTCCATTTTTTATACTGGTTATTGCATCAAGATATAAAACTCAGTCCAAACTCCCCCCAATTCAAAACAAAATTTCCACTCATGTCAACAACAGACTCGCACTGATATCAAGGCAGAAGTTTGTTATATGTTGAACCATTTTTAATGATTAGATTTCAACTTTGTACCTCCCCTTCTACTTTTATGTTCCTCTTCCTTCACTATCCTCCCTTTTTAGTTTTTCTCTTTCTGCCTTATCTTGGTTCATCACTCCTGTTCTTTCCTATGAATTTCCAGTCTTACAGGACCTCCTAGCCACTGTGCTTCATTACCATAATTTACCCCCATTCCATTTAGTAAAATGATTAGTGATTTAACAGCTAACATTGACACTAGCTTCTAGTCCAATTAGATTAACAAACTGAAGGTGGGGCAGAGGCATAACACAGCAGCTGATCATCTAGGGCACCAGCAATGACTTCCGGCTGCTGGTACCACAAGCACAGGTGGCAGCTGTTATTTTAATGCTTCTCTTCAAGTCGGCACCTGGGGCTGCTGCCTTGGTTTCCACACTTTAGTTACACTACTAGGTCATAGAACGGGGGTGGGCAAAATGTGGCCCACGGGCCACCTGTGGCCTGTCAGGCCATTCTTTCCAGCCTGTGGGGCCCCTAAAAAATTTAGAAAATTAATATTTATCTGCCCCTGGCTGCCTGTCATGTGGCTCTTGATGGCTTGCCAAAACTCAGTAAGTGGCCCTCCGCCCAAAATAATTGCCTGCCTCTGTCATAGAGGCATCTTAGAGACTTACTTTGCCATAGCATCTGATAAAGAATGCTGTAGCTTATGAAAGCTCATGCCTCTCTGAGGGCACGTGCACATGTTCACAAGACCCAATCTATGATCACGAGGATTGCTTAAAGCCACATGATCATAGAGGGTCCTCACTTATACACATTCATTGGTGCTGGGAACCATGTTGGGAATGCGATCTATGTCGTGGTGGTGTGGGGGGGGGGGGGGGGGGGGGGGGAAGGATTGGAAGGGGCTAGCACATCCAAGGGAGGAGTTTGGTAGGTCCAGGCCAGAGGAATTGCATGTTTGGGGGTTGGGATGATTGGAGGTCTAAAAATAGCCTGGTCAGGGTGGGAGGTAAGAAAAGCATAGTCCTGGGGCTGGGGCAAGTTGCTGTGCTCCTCATGGCTACATACATTTCATTAGATCAGGCCTGGGTGAGCCTGATCTATGTAGTGGACCTCCTTAGGTGAACTAAGTTAGATATGGCTAGCCATTTTTTGCCTGATCTAAGTGTAACATCTGCATATTCCCTAAACAAGTTAGACTATAAAGCCACTAAACTCCTTGCCTTCTATTAGAGTAACAATTAACCAGGGATTTCACACTTCTAAGCTACAGTTTGAAGCTGTTTGCCAGTATAATTAAAAGTAGTGACATCTTCCAAAGGGTAGGTACCTATGAACAATTTTGTGTTGACTAAAAGGGGTAGGGATTTATCATTCAGTAGCTAGCCTGTAGTAACTGCCTGTGTGTAAGCCCTTACCCCATGGATAGTAGAAGCTAAATCATGTGAAATATGATTCCACTAGCATGGCTTAGCTTTTACTTCCCATGGGGTGTACACACAGGAGGCTTTGCCATGGACCAGGTACTGTGAAATAAATCGCTACCCACTTTAGCCCACAGTAAATATTTCATTTGTCCATACCTGAAGTTCACATATGCAACATTTTCTTTGCAATCCTAAAGACAAGAAACTTAGATTTAAAAAAAATAAATGAATACATACATTTTTGGTTTCTGGACTAGCTATTTCTGGAGGGCCAAATACAAGAACCAAGTGAACCAGATCTGGCCATATATTTGACATCACTGCTTTGAGTGACAGCCTTGAACTATGAACCCTTTCCCCAAGGAAATTGTATATACCGGTATCTACAATACACATGAGGAAAACTAAAGATGTACTGCACCTGCATTTGCTCTTTGTCTTGCTCACATTTGGCATTTTTATACGTGCTTTGGGACGCAGCACCGGAACAATACTTTAATTAGAGAACCGTATTCATTTAAAATGTCTGTGCATCACATGTATCAGCATCGCTGCAGTGAAAAAATGAAGGCGGAGGGCTTTGAACTAAAGTTCATCAAATGTGTTTCATTTCAAAGTGCCCTGCTGCCATTTTTTCAGCACAAGGATGATACACATGATGCGGAAGAGTGCCGGAGTGTGTCAATTTCCGTTCTCCAGCAGATTCGATTAATCGCTGGATTTCCAGCACGTCGGAGCAGGCTCCCCTCAAGTCTAATAGGAGCCCATTAATTCTAATTCTTCCATTTATTTAGATGTCCTGTATAATGAAGAAAGTGTTTTACAGTGAATTTTTTTGCAATCTTCTTGTGCAGCCCAAGAACAGACTGCATTATGATACAGGTATAACCTGTGATAAGAATAAACCATAAAAAGATATGAGCTACCTTAACTATGGGCTAGGATATACCTGCAGGAAATAGCAGGCTTTGCCATCCCCAGGTAATTTCAGAGAAGCAGCTTCCTTTCTCTTTTCTCCTTGCTGCTGGGGAGAAGTGCATTGCTGCTGAGAGCCAATGTGTCAAGATTCAAATTCTTAGTAAGTCGCACAAGGAAAAAGGGGAATTTTACTTTCACTTATGCCCATTTGCAGGCCAACTGTATATTTAATATAAAAATACCCAAAATGCAATTATTTAAGTCATCTAAGCAATCTAAGCAATAGTTAGTCTACCAAAAAAACAGCACAATCATCCTTATTTTGCAGCACAGTGCACTCATCTCAAGTTATCTGAGGAAATGCATTCCCAATGAAAGTGTATAGAAGATGCTAAATGAGGGCATAACATAGAAAAAGGACAGTATCTTCTTTATTTAATAAAAAGACTTACCATCCTGCTGGCCCTGAAGATTCTGAGGACTTTGCATTCTCTCTTCAAGATTAGAACTAAGGTCTGAGTTCACAGCTGACATCCTGGTTGAGTCACTCATATCAAATTCATCACTTTCTATGGAACTTTCATCCTGCAATACAAAATTCCCTGTTTCATATTAGGAAACACCCAAAAAATACTTCCAAATATGTTATTCAAACTAAAATCATTATTTAGTAATTCATATTAATAGCTGAGATACCCTTATTGAATTAGTAAGTAAACAAGCAAGCTATAAGAAGAGCAAGTATAATTAATCACAAAATGGACTGTGATCATTTGACAGGTGCCATTAAAGTTTAATCAAGTATGATAATACTCCAAATATAATACTAAGTGGCTTTCTAGAATATTTTGTAAAAGCAGAAAAATGTTAGTGTTCTGGGAACTCATGACAGCTCTTTTCTATTAAATCTTTGTTGAGGAGACATCTCCGTTTTTGTGCCCAAATTGTTCATTCTATTTGAATAATCATTGCCAGGGAGTACATAAGATTTTAATGAAATGCTGTATCTATCAAAGACAATGGCTAATCTCCTTTGATTTCATCCTTAAACTGTAAATATGTTCGAAGAAGTGACTGAAAAGTGGCATTGTCTTACTCAGTCCAGTCCTGATCTTGTTCGCAATGAACTCAATCACAAGGCAACTCGCAAGTGTGAAAGCAGGGAAGATTTTATTCTGGCTCACACACTTCCAATATATTTGTTAACTATCAATTTAAAAAATCTCCAATGCTGATGATGAAAACGATGACAACATGTAAGCCAAAAATCCAATTTCAATTTATGATGCTCATTTGATTGTTGCAGACAGAAAATCTGGGCCCCAGCCGAGCAAACATTCATTCACCTGCTTAAATTGACTCATTTTAGTAGTCCCATTAATGTCAATGGTTAGGGACAGAAGTTACACATAAACTGGCTTAAGTGATCAGAAACTGGTTTAAACCTGTAACAGAACATAACTTCAGTGCACATAACCCAGTTTCAAAATATGTGAAACTGGTTTAAGGTAAAACTGGTCGAATGTACTATCAGACTTAACTGATTTGGATCAAACCAGTTTATGAAACTTCTGTTCCAAACCCCTTCCTGGTCCAAATTAAATCACAGTCCTCCAGCATCCCAGCATGCTTGGCAGCCCTGGGCTGGGCTGGGGTGTCTAGAAAGGTCTGTTGGGGGAAGGGGGGAGGCAGGGACTGCCCTCCCCAGGCAAACCTTGGCTGGGGTCAGGGAGGTGGGTTAAACTTCCCTTCCCCAGAGTACAGAGCTTCCCTGCACTGCTAAAAACATAGTGCTGGCTGCGACTGTGAATTACAAATCCCAGAGGCACCTGGAAGCATGAAGAGGAGGTGATGAGCAACCCTGTAGAGACTGCTGTTGTAATTCTGGACTACAAATCCCAGAGACCTCAAGGGCAGCAGGAAGATTCATAGATGTTAGGGTCGGAAGGGACCTCAATAGATCATCGAGTCCGACCCCCTGCATAAGCAGGAAAGACTGCTGGGTCTAGATGACCCCAGCTACATACTCATCTAACCTCCTCTTGAAGACCCCCAGGGTAGGGGAGAGCACCACCTCCCTTGGGAGCCCGTTCCAGACC